AGAGAGCCAGTGTCTCCTTGTGGAAGTGAGGACTCAGGGAGCACAAGCCAGTGCTACAAGCTCCAAGGCTCCCCAGGCTGAGGGAAGTCACTTTCCAGAATGTGAGAGTGAGTGGAACAGCAAGGATGGGTCAAACAGCTCAGAGCGCAGGACACTACCTTTAGGCTCCAAAGGACACAAGACACTTAATACTCCTGGGGGAATTCTGTGTCACTGCGCACGTGCAAAATTCATGACCCCAGAGAACAGATTCTGCCGGGGAGGCACCGCAATGACACATCTTGGTCACCAGCGTTACCCCTGACTCTCCCAAGCCTTTGCACTGCTTCCGAGGGGTGAGGGAAGTTTCTATATTGTAGTTTAAATTAATTATTACTCCAAGTTCTTGACTAATATGCCTAGTGAGGAATCTATTTGTCAAAAAACATATCCTGAATCTTTTTTGTCGTCCACATTGTTACAAACATACTTGCTGACAGGTATTTTGAAATAAATTACCAAAATAACTGAAACTGGCATGATTATATTGTGTTATTTTGACAAATACACAGAATTTTAAAATATTGTGCACAGATTTTTAATTTTTTTTGGCGCAGAATTCCCCCAAGAGTAACTTAACAGGGGGGTTAAGGTAAGACACTGCCTTAAGGAATCTGGTTATGATGGCATGGCCCCCCCACTGGGAAGCTGCCTACAGAGCCCTATAGGGTGGAAGCCAGGACCCTTAGGGAAGCAGATCTGCTCTAGTTCAACAGGAATTATTTTGGGGAAGTTCTCTGGCCTGTGTTATACAGAAGGTTGGGCTACATGATCACAATGTCCCCTTCTGGCCTTGGAATCAAACCTATCATAGAGTCCTCCCTCAGACCCATCCTGGGGGAGCTCCAGGACAGAGTGGATTCATGGCCAAAATCCTATGGATGGCCAAAGAAGAAAGAACCCTTCGCCTGGGAATGGTGATAAGAACCAAGCCAGGGATCTCTAGCTTCAAGAAGAAGGAGCATTTGAGAGCCAGGCCCTGAGTATGAGAAGAATGGGACCAAGTGAAGGGTCAGAATGGTCTTTTCTGTCTGGTAGATGCAGACGGAGGCCTGGGGACAGCCAGATGTGGTATGCGAACCAGGCTCCTATAGGCCTTCAGAGGCTAGGCGATTCCGCAAACACCAATTCTCTTCTGCTTTCTTCACAACCCAATGTCACAGAAGGGAGGGGTGGTGTAAGCTACGTCCTCCACCCACAACATTTTACACCCAGGCCTTGGGAGTGGCCAGTACCTGGGAAGTAGGGAACTGCAGCTTGACAAGAAGAGGTTGACTGAGGGAAACCAGGACCAGGCAGCAGTAGGACTGAACATCTCCTAGTGAAGGGGCTATTCCTTCTGGAAGGAGTTGTTTCTGGCTCAGCCCATCTGCCTGAAGATTCAGACAGCCAGGCCCCTGCAGGACTGTGAGGTACCCTGGCTAGTTCTCAGCCCTGTGCAAGAGGATGTTGGATTCCTACTGGAGGGAAATGCTCCAGGTCCCATCTAGATAATTCAAATAGGCCACCTTGCTGATGTGGGTGTATGCTGGGGAGGATGCAACTGTGTGAGAGGAGGGGGATCTCTGAGGACTGAGCGCCAACTTTGGGGAGACTTTAAGGGCAGGGATGCTGGAGGGTAGGAGGGGCTGGGAGCTCATGTGTTGAGTGAGGAGGCTCTCATGGGAAGTTTTTTTCAGAGCTGAAAGGATCAATTGCTGTGGACCACAGGGCAGCAAAAGCCCTATTGATCTAGGCCGGGGCTGCTGGATGGAGTGCAGACCCAAGACTGTGTGTGAACTCTGACCTGAGTTCTGGTCCACCTGTAGGGCCTCTCCCTGGGTGTCCAGGATTATGTGGGAGCTGTCCTGCTGCTCCCACAGAGTCCATGTGGGGGCTACTACAAAGGAGCATGGCTGCATGGGTCAGAGCAGCTCAGTCCTTGCCCAGGCTTGGCTGCAGCAACTGGGCACAAGGCCACAGGGGGATGGGGAAGCAGAACGGACCTGCCCCCAGCACCGCAGGACAGGCACAGGAGAAGCTTTTTCAGACTTTCCTCCCTGGTTTTCCTGGGAAGAGGTTTCCTTTGTCTTGCCTTGGGACTGAGATGAACAGAAGGTGTTGCTGCTTCCAGCTAGGCAAAAGATATGGGGAGCCCACCTGCCCACCAGGTGGAGGAACTAGATATAGAAATACTGGATCCACATTGGTTACCACCTGATTGACTAACAGCTGTGGTGCACTGGACTCATTTGTACATACTGGTGGCAGCCACAGTTCAGAGAGAGAGTATGCCTGTTGAATTTCCTGGGAGTGAAGGAGCAGGACTTTAAAAGGCTCTTGAAGCTACCTAGCACCCAAGAGCAAATTTCTTCTCCTGTAGCTGCATCAGAAATTCTGGAAGTGGATTGAATAACTACCAAAAAACCCTTTATTTTATTGATTCCCCCCCCCTTTAAGTCAATACAGATATAAGGTGCCAAACTCAGAGCTGGTGAAACTCTGCCAGAGAGACAGCTGCCAACTCCAAATCTGAATGAGAAGTCTTCAAACCACCACCAATAAGGAATAACCAGTTTTAAAACCTGTAAACACCCTCTCCTCCCCTCCAGTAGAGGTCACTGTACAGCAGCAAGACCCGGATTTAGAAGACAAGTTAGTCATTCTGTAGTTCTTTGCTCTAGGGTACATATTCTGAATCAACTGGAGTGGAGTTATGAAACTTGGCTATACTGCACACAGCCAGAAGCAAAGGGTAAAACTTCATAACTAGGATGGTTTTAAATATGATAAAGCTTTGCTAGACTGGCTAACACAGCCCTTAGAAACCTATTACTCTGCACAGCAATCCAGTACCAAAGGTACACCTGTTAGGATTAGATCTTTAGTCCGTGAACATCAAACATTGATTTCATTCTACATGGAGACAGACAAAAAATATTTCCATTGATATAATTGAAATTTACAGATAGACAAAGTCAGAAAAATACTGCTTGAGAACTTATTTGAGTTTGATTTAGGGTTATTTACTTTGTATATTTTGACATGTTATATTGACAATTTGTGTTTTTGAATCTCAGTGTCTACAGCTGTTAAATAATCATCTGACCCACCTCCCCACTGTCTGATTGAAATTGACAGAGCTCTTTAAAAATACTTAATACACCAATGTAGAAATGATCAAAAATTTAAAAACCAAATTCTGCCAAACCTAACCACAGGTCAGAAAAACCTGTAATTTAAAGAGGCTCATTGTAGTTTTAACTATTTCTGTACTTGTAATTAATTTTAGACAGTACCTGGTCACAATATATTTCCTGTTACAGAACACGTCAGACTTTCCTGGAAACAATGGCATTCTTTAGTTTTCCTATTCCCCTGCAACATACAGTATTTCTTTTGTAACAAAATATCAGCTACTAAAATGATGTTGAGACATAAATAAAATAAAAGCACACAGGTATTAGATAATCTCTTCTCTCCCCTCACCCATAGCCCCTTTTCTTTCCTCTTCCCATCTCTGCACTGGACTTTTGGCTAAGCTTGAATGGAGGGGAACAAACAGGTTGAAAACAGCCTGCTTGACATATGGTTGAGTTCTTTCCGCTTACCCTGGAAATAGGAGGACTTCAATTAGCACCAGTTAATTAGTGGTTTTCTTCTATTATTCTGAGTTTAAATACAAAATTAAGTTTTCACAAAAGACGGATGTGACACTCTGTCCCTGTTCCACTTGTTGATAATGCAATCATCTAGGCTGCACAGATGAATGCAGCCAGAAATTATATATGATGTGTATTCTGGTGGGTCAATTACACATCACTAGACAATGAAGTAACACTTGTACGTTCAAGGATACAGCTGCGGTTATGGTTTACTTACATAATGAAGCTAACTTTAAATAAATTGAAGACTCAACAGATGAGAAGACCAGCATCAGCTGAAGCCCTCCCGTAGTGGGGCTGAACCCCAGATCCCTGAGCCCCGACACCCACGGCTGAAGCCAAAGCCTGAGCAATGTAGCTTTGTGAGGGCCCTTGTGGCATAGGACCCCAGGCAATTGCCCTGCTTGATACCCCCTAATGCCGGTCCTGGCTTTTACATGCAGAAAACCAGTTGGTGTGGCACAGGTGGGCCATGGAGTTTTTATAGCATGTTGCGGGGGCCTCAGAAAGAAAAAGATTGAGAACCTCTGCTATATACCATGGTCTCTAACTCATATACACCCATGAACTTGTGATGTAACAGCTTGAGGACTAGAAATAGTCAGCAAAAGGGGTAAGGGGATACATATCCCCTTTTCACATCCTACTCTCACCTGAGAACAAAGCAGCACCAAACGAAGGGAATTCCTCAGGCAGCCACTAGCCCAATCTCTGTGGACAGTTGCAATGAACAGACACTAATGGTTCTACAGTGGGGTATTCTTAACCGCCCTGAAACACAAGTTACAAAGGAGAGGTCTGTGCCAGTAACAGAAAAATAATGGTCTCCTGGTAACCTTTGTTAGGGGACTTTTCAGTTTGTCTAAAAAATAATCAGCTCTATGAAAGTCTGTCCTCAGCCAACGTAAATGTTTATTGCTGTAGAAAACAAGTGAGAGACACTTTTCAGAAAGGACCATTTAATGAAAAGGTTATGTTTGCATGTTAAGGCTTTATATAAATATACAGGGTTAAAACCTAGTGGGAAACATTAAAACATTCAAGTAAACAAGATAAACTCAATAAAAATTCTCTCCTTCTCAATGACAGCCTAATGAACAAACATACTTCTGGGATGGAGTGGAAATTCATTCAAGATCTGCCAGCAGCACAAATTATCCCCACTGGGTACAAAACTATAAGGGGTGTGTGTATGTGGAGGGGTAATATTATCCAGTGTTCATGATTTAAAACAGGCTCACCCAAACCGAAGGCCATCACTGCCCTAATGATTCAGTCACTGTTTTCTTTCCTGTGTACTGTAGTGATCCCCTTGCCGGCACAGAAGAGTATAGTAATGGCATATTTCCTACTTTTTCATCCAAGTTCAAGTTCCTAGAAGGTTTAATGTTTTCCGGTCTCATTATCAAATAGATAGCATATTAAGGAATCCAGATGCACCACCTAGTAAGCTACTGGGGGCTTTACTACATCACATAGGACTGGAAACACTGATGTAGATTTGGCATACATGCTGCCAAGGCAGTGAACACAAATTCACAATTGGTCTGGGGGAGGGAAGTTGCGGAAAAAAGTTGACGTGAGGTATTAGTCTCCTAAGTATTTGCTATGGAGGAACAACAGTCACACAGATGGAACAGCAGCTGAAATAATCATAGTGTTCCAACTCGTCTAATGATCGCTGCAGAGACTTTATCAATAATGTCAATGGAGAATCCGTGGGGTAATTAGATCCCAATTTAAATTCATTTGAAACATTCAGCACACTCACTGTGTGCAGAACACTAAGCCTGATCTGTATCTTACAGACTTTGCTCTGTCCCTTCTCCTCTTCTGAATACTCGAGTTTAGAGATTTGCCATGTCATTACACTTTTCTTTATTAAAGTTTTACAAGCTGAAGAATAAACTTAAAAAAAAGTCAGTGAAAGTCCTATTAGTGAGAGCAAGAACAGTACATACTCCCTGATCTTGCTCTACTTGCTCTCAGATTAAAATTGTAAAAAATAACTGAACTATGTGCAAGAGGGACTGTGTCCTGTCTCCCAACAATCCAACAACAAAAGATCCCTCACTTCATTTTAGCTACTGCAAGTGCAAAGGGCAATTCAAGTTTTCCTAACAATCTCCAAAACAGAAATTCAGCTTTAAAAAACAAACTAAAAACCCCATCAAAACCCAAAAACACTTAAAACTCTCTAAACGAGTTTAAAAACAAAATAATCTGCCCAGGGAGGAACAGTTTCATCAGACCATGACATGTTTTACCCACAAGTATGAAAAACCAAAAGTATTAAATAAGAACCTACATGTCCTAAAAACTGAGAAACTTCTATAGCTACATCTGGACATCTTCAACTGTTCTCATTTTCCATAGTGGACACCAGGAATGTTTATATTTTATAGGTTATTTCTCTGAAGTGCCTCACAAAGGTTTTGATTGGCATCTGGTTCCTCAGTCATCACTTCCACAGCTTCCCACTCCCCAGACCTGCTGGATTTTTTAATGGCATCTACTACACTTTGCATATAGAGGCCATCTTCAAAAGAGGCTGCCATGGAGACTGGTTTGTGATCCCATGTCCGACGGTCTTCCTGGTCTTGGAAAGACAGTCTCAATGCTTGCACCATGTACACCATTCCTTTCAGGTACAGCAAGGGGATGTCTTTAAACCCCTTGTCCAGAAGGCCTGTGTTGATGGTCAGAGAATCTGTAAGCAGTAGTTCCTCTTGGAATGCTGTATTCTTCTGCCCATACAAATCTGTCCCACGAGCTATAAGGCGACCTGTGGACCCAACAATCATGACTTCGTGAACAAATGATCCAGGCATGTTAAAGTTGAGAGTCACAGTGCTACAGACACCTCCAGTCATAAGCATCTGAAAAAAGCAGAAGTCATCACTAGTGACATGACGGATTCCACTGATAGCTGCGTTCTGCTTCACAAAAGTCTTAAGCAAGCCATGGACCTTCTCTGCCTTCCTGCTGGTTAGATGAGTTAAGAGGTCTATAATATAGGTGCCCATTGTGTGCAGTCCACCTCCTCCCATTAGTTCATCACAGATCCAGTTGTACTTGTGGTTGAGCAGGCTTCCCCAGTACACTCGCACATCACAGATCATCACATTGCCTATGTAGTGTTCTTCTATTAACTGCTTCATTTTGACAAAGGCAGGCAGGAAACGGAGGACATTACCAACAATGCTCATCAGCTTGGGGTAATATCTGGCAGCTGTAACCATTCTGAAGGCATCCACAGAGGTAGCAGATTTCTCACAGATTACATTCTTCCCAATACCTGCAGACAACAAGAAAGACGTGAAAATTCTTCCATGGAGGCAAAATATTGCTTTGAAGGTAATTTGCTTGTGCAGTTAAGCTAAAGGCACTTATCAGATTCCATTTCATTTTTTAAAATTACTAAATAGCATCAACTCTTTTGTCTAGAAGCATGTGCCAAGATAAAACATACAGAGCATTGTCAACAATTACTGGGACCAGCTCTGTTCAACAGATTCATAAATGAGCTGGAAAAAGGGGTAAAGAGTGAGGTGTGTAGCCAAGTGGACTAGCTCGCCTTTATTATATTCTGCTTTGCATTAGATTCAGCAGTAATACAAGAAACCTACAGGCCTGTACCCTGTCAGACATTAGCTTCAACAAGTTAGCATAAGGCCTGAGGCCTATAAACTTTGAACAGAAACTTTGCACAGATAAATGGCCCAGCTGAAAATAGTGTTTACGGGGAGGTTTGACCACGGGTACATGATTCTACCACAGAGGTGTCCTGGAAACGAACTGATGTACGTAACCAGCACATAAGATACATCTAATGCTAGCCCCTCTCTCTCTCTCTATGTACACACACACACACACACACACACACACACACACACACACACCTTTTCTTATAAGTTTCTTATGGGTTTTATTATAATAGGTTTATATTTGGCTATAACCAAGGGACCTACAAGCCACGTTTGGTATGTTAAGCTAGGACAAAGTTAGCATACGCATGTTTGGGACCTTTCAACAAAAGATGGTGATGAAATAAAGCGTAAGGTCCATATATGGCTGTGACCTCTGCCATAGCTAGATACAGGATGCATTGAAGCAGGTTGGCATAGGGGCTTTCCTAAGTTCATATCCTTTTAAACTTAACAGATACACCACAACTTGGAACTTGGAAAGAATCAAAATAACTGGTTAGGACAGAAATAAAAATGTGATACCTAACCACAAAATGGCCATGGTAACGAATTGATGTATATAATAAGTTGAGATCATTGATATACTAACCTATAAGAAAAAGACACTTCAACATTAGTAAGGTGAGGAAATACAAATAAGGAAAAAGGGAAAAATCCCCTACTGAATATGCATCAAACATAGCGGCGTCAGCGTAACATATTATAAAAGTGGCACCCCAGCCTAGGGGCAGTAGGAGACAGAGATGTAGTCCTTGGGAGGTGCCAGAGTGATGGCCACTGGTGATGATGGGGAAGGTGATGGTGATAAGGAAGATGATGGCTAACATTTCAGGTTGTTCTGCAAGAGATGGTGTGAGTATATAGATGTGCAGATGTACATTCTATCATATCTCTATCTTACTAAGTTGGGGTGTTTGTGACTGTGCTAAATGTATTAATAAACTAGATTTGTAAATATAAAAGAGTTCCTATAGTGTGAGTGTTACAACTGTGCACATCGGGGTTCCCAACTATATAATAATTTAAATACTACTGGGCCTGATCTTGGGACAAGAACCTGTCAATCCTCAAAGTGATAATGGCGGATTCTTAAGTAATCAATATAATTAATACATAACCTAAAGATCAGGCAACAGATGGCAAAAAAGACAACACAAAATCACTCAGGATAGTTAAGTCCAAAGCAGACTGCGAAGAGTTACAAAGGGAGCTCACAAAACTGGGTGACTGGGCAACAAAATGGCAGATGAAATTCAATGTTGATAAATGCAAAGTAATGCACATTGGAAATCATAATCCCAACTATACATGTAAAATGAGGGGATCTAAATTAGCTGTTACCAATCAAGAAAGATTTTGGAGTCATTGTGGATAGTTCTCTGAAAAGGTCTGCTCAATATGTAGCGGCAGTCAAAAAACCTAACAGTATGTTAAAAACCACAAGGAAAGGGATAGATAAGAAGACAGGAAATATCATAATGCCACTGAATACTTGAATACACCTTGAACCTTGAATACTGCGCGCAGTTCTGGTCACCCTATCTCAAAAAAGAAATAATAGAATTGGGAAAGGTATAGAGAAGGGCAACAAAAATGATTAAGGGGATGGAACAGCTTCCGTATGAGGAGAGATAAAAAAGACTGGGACTATTCAGTTTGGAAAAGAGATGTGGTATGAGGGTGGTATGAAAGAGGCATATAAAATCATGAATGGTGTGGAGAAAGCAAATAAGGAAATGTTATTTATGCCTTATCATAGAATCATAAAAAGCAACAGAGGGTCCTGTGGCACCTTTAAGACTAACAGAAGTATTGGGAGCATAAGCTTTCGTGGGTAAGAACCTCACTTCTTCAGATAGAATCATAGAATATCAGGGTTGGAAGGGACCTCAGGAGATCATCTAGTCCAACCCCCTGCTCAAAGCAGGACCAATCCCCAGACAGATTTTTGCCCCTGATCCCTAAATGGCCTTCTCAAGGATTGAACTCACACCCCTGGGTTTAGCAGGCCAATGCTCAAAACACTGAGCTATCCCGCCTTCACAAAACACACAAACCAGGCATCACCCAATGAAATTAATGGGCAGCATGTTTAAAACAAACAAACAAACAAAAAAAAACCAAAAAAGAAATACTTCTTCACACAATGCACAGTTAACTTGTGGAACTCGTTGCCAGGGGATGTTGTGAAGGCCAAAACTATACCTGGGATCAAAAAAGAATTAGACAAGTTCATAGACGATAGGTCCATCATAACTATTAGCCAAGATAGTCGGGGATGTAATCCCATATTCTGGGCGTCCTTAGCCTCTGACTGCCAGAAGCTGGGAGTGGACAACAGGGGATAATTGCCCTGTTCTGTTCATTCCCTCTGAAGCACTTAGCACTGGCCACTGTCAGAAGACAGGATACTGGGATAGATGAACCATTGTTCTGACTCAGTATAGCCGTTCTTATGTTCGTTCGTATGTAATACCCACTTTCAACATACACTTGGATCCTTCCTTGTTATGTGTGCACACGTGCATGACATGCAACTTCATAGATTACAAAATAGAATACAGCACATACAACTCTACTGTAAACTTCAACCAAACTCTCCATTCTCTATCATTCAATAGCATAGTTTCACCCTTATCCCAATGCCTATTCTGATGAAATACTGAGCAATATCTCATTGTTTAATATTAGAGATCTGCCTAAAACCTGAAAACATTAACAGGTGTCAGACTCAAATTTCAGTATTTTGGGCATAAGAAATACAAAAAAAAGAAGGCAAGTGACAGCAGCCACTTGTCTGAAAGCCCTTCCACACTGGGAATGGATTCTGGTTCTTAACTCAGAATGTCCTTGCTTTTCATAGATTTTGTTGTCAGAAGAGATCAACGTCATCATTTAATCTGTCCTCTTGCATAACACAGGCCATATAATTTCACCCAGGAATTCCTGCATCAAATCCATTAACTTCTGACTGAATATCTGGAGAATATCTTTTAGAAAGATAGCCAGTCTTGATGTAAAGACTTCAGTGCACCACATCCCATGGTAAATTGGTTAATTACCAAAGGTTAATTGCCCTCCACTGTTAAAAATGTGCACCTTACTTCTAAACCTGAATTGGTCAAGATTCAGTTTCCAGCCATTCAAATTCGTTATGCCTTTGTCTGTTAGATTAAAGAGCCCTCTACTATCAGAGCTCTTCTCCCCATACAGGCACTCAGACCATGATCAAGTCAACTCTTAACCTTCTCTTGGATAAACTAAACAGATTGTTCTTTAATCTCACTGAAGGCAGGTTTTTTAGACCTCAAAACCTTCTGTGGGTTATAGTTAGACCCTTTAACAATAAATCCATAGAATCCAGGTATTCTAAACTTTCCAGACACATTTAAACAGACTGATTCCTCTTGCCCAATAGGAACAAGAACAAACAGAAATCTGCATTTGCCATTATATGTCTAGTTCAAACCATGAAAGAAATTTTACAGCAAAGTTAAAGACTCCTCTAAAACATTAGTTCTAATAAATACACTTAGGGACCCATCAGTGCAAATATTCTACTGCAATATTGTCCCAACACACTAGTCACTGGCAGTCACCCGAAAGAATGTGTAAAAAGCAACAGAGGGTCCTGTGGCACCTTTAAGACTAACAGAAGTATTGGGAGCATAAGCTTTCGTGGGTAAGAACCTCACTTCTCCAGATGCAAGTAATGGAAATTTCCAGAGGCAGGTATAAATCAGTATGGAGATAACGAGGTTAGTCTGATACTGAAAGAATGTGAACACCTCTTCTCCAAATAGCAAATTCTTGAGCAGACACCGAGTGGTAACCCAAATATTCTTCAGGTTTTCTACAGTTTTAAGTCTCTTCCAGAAGGAACTGAATAAATGCAACTTTAGTGATGGGTAGAAACAAGACAGCAAATCTAATGATCAAAAGGCTTTTCAGCAGTCGAAACACTGTTCTAAAAACGGCATCATAGGGCTCCGTGTTTTTCTTCCCAATGTAAATGGCATCATAGGGCTCCGTGTTTTTCTTCCCAATTTCTGTTTCAAAAGGTGCTCAGCTTACAAGTGAAAAACTTGTTTGTTTTTTCCCTGACTGCCAGATGTGCAAATTCAGCCTGGAATCTGAGAGTCAAGCTAGACCGTTTCTATCTTATACACAGTCACCAGTAACTCCACTGCCTTGAATGGGCTTGTCCTCACCAACTACAACATAGTAAATAACGGATTCTATACCAGGAGGAACAGAATCCACTTCACTCACATTTAGCCACCTTGGCTCTGCAGGGTCGCAGGAAGAAAAACAAAGCCTCAGTTTGGTCACTAAAGGATCAGCTCTGACTCTGAATACACACCCAGTCTAGTTCTTGTGCACAAGAAGCTGCCTTCTTTAGATTTACTTTTCTGAGTGGATCCACACTTTAAATCCTTTGTTACTTAGTCAGCGAACAAGGAAACACTATTCTCGGTTATGTTCCTATCCCTTTAATTGGATATTATAAGGGAGGGAGAAAAAAAATCAAATGATACCATTCGTAAGACTCTTTAAAGTAAACAATCATTATCCTACATGTGAGAAA